AAATTCTTAAAAACCATTTTTTTTATGTATGAAGTACTATTTATTGATGCATATTACTTAAAATTCAAGATTACAAGTAAATTTTGAATAAGTACAACTTTTTAAAGCTCTATATTTGAATTCGTGTAACTAACTGCGGATAAACATAATCAAATAGAGGATAAACATCTCATTTTAAAATATAAAAAATCTAAAATATAATTAGGATAATTATTGAGTTCTCACGGAATACTTAATTATTATCTTTATAAAAAAATATTATTAAACCTAAATTAAGTTACTTCGTTACGATAAATTAAATTATAATAAAAATTTTGAATTAAAAAAATACGCAAATAAAACTTCTAAATAGTTAATTTGATACTAATATTGATATATTTTTTTGTAAATTTTATATGATATTTTTAAATATATATTTTATTTAAAAATAAAAGCATTATTGCTTTTTCGAAACCACATAAAATCGTATTATATCGACATAGATAAAAAATAAAACGAAACACTGAAATCAAAATATGTCTTGATGAATTGCACGAATACCCTTCAAGTATTACAAAAACAAATACAGTCATAACTAAAGGTAAAATGACTATAGTTAAAAGTAGTGGATAAAGGTTGACTGAATTTACAATAAGTAATACCAATAGTTGTTTGTTTTGGTTCATCGAATAATCCGAAGCACCAAAAAGCTATATAATATTAAGGGACCACTCACCTTCCAGCTAAAACCCCTATATAATGTCAGGGGTTGATATCCCCACCTCCTCCTTCTCACACCAACCCTCACTCTCACCCTCACAACTTTCTCTCACTCTCACCCTCAGATACTCACCCCCTACACAATCTCACCCCCCTCACATGCACCCATAGGAGGGGGTGGGGTTAGAAAAACCCTAATATTAATGTTTTTCAAAAATATAATTAATAATTAAATTATATATTTTATTTAACATATTTTAATTATCTATAAAATAAAATAAATATAACTTTTATTTCTCATGTATGTTATATAAACTTTTTTTAAATTGTTATATTTTTCTTTGATATCTAAATATGATGAATAAGGATTAAAAAAATTACTGATTTAATTAATGACATTTATAAATAATTACTAGTTATTATTAATATCTATTATTTATACTATATTATAAAATATTTGACAAAAACTCTTAAAAATCATTTTTTATGCATAAAATACTGTTTGTTGATACATATTACTTAGAATTTAAGATTACGAGTAATTTTACGTAAGTACAACTTATTAAAGCTCAATTTTTAAATTCGTGTAACTAACTGCTGATAAACATAATCAAATACAGGTAAACATTCATTTTAAATATAAAAAATCTAAAATATAATTAGGATAATTATTGAGTTCTAACGGAATGTTTAAGTATTATCTTTATAAAAAATTATATTATTAAACCAAAAAATAAATTACTTTGTTATTAAATCTAAATTAAATTATAATAAAAAATTGAATCAAAGAAATTACACCAAAAATACAATTACTATTAAATAGTTAACTTGATACTATTATCGATTTATTTTTTTACAAATTTTTATGTTGTTTTCAAATTTATATTTTAATTCAAAGATAAAAACATTATCGTTTTCTCAAAACCACATAAAATCGTATTATATTGATACAGACAAATAATAAAAAACTAAACATTAAAATCGACATTTATCTTGCTGCATTGCACGAGTACCCTTCTAGTATAATTAAACGAGATTCAAAGTTGCACCTGGGATAGTAGAAAAGTCTTGCTAACCAACTCTAACAGATAAAACTTGCATTTTTTTTTGTACTTTCAAAATCTATATGATTGAACGTAACAAAAATGATACAGTCATACATTTCATTATTGATTAGTTTTTATAGTTAAAAATGCACAATATTATTCAAATATCTAAAAATATAAGACATTTTTAATACATTATATTATACATATTATATTATAAAACTGATTATATTTTTAAAACTCATTATAGATAATAAAAAAAATATAGTATCTCACGAACTTTTCGAGTCAGTATTGGGTGGCTCGACCCGACTTGTTAATATATCGAGTCAAGTTCGAGTTTGAGTCGAGCCTATCTGAGTCGGGTGTTGTCTGATTTTTGACTAAGTCGATCTCGAGTAGCTAGCGAGTTGTCTCGTATTGTTTACACCCCTAGTCATATGGTTTTAATTGTTATATATTATATAATCAGAGTTGAGTTCTAGTGAGAAGAAAAGTTAGATTAAAAAGCGTAAGATAAAATTTCGGCCCTCAGATCAATCCAATGTAAATGTCAAAACTAATAAAGTGCATCGAGATGTACCAAATCAATTATCTTCTAAAACGTAATTCATGAATGAGCGTGTAGGTTGATACTTTTTTGTTTGGAATAGTATTTTTTTTTTAATTTATAAATGAGCGTGTTTTTAATTGGAAGAGATAAGTTTGAAAAAAACTTGACTTTCTGTATAAAGGTTTTTCTAAAAAATTTAATAAATAAACCACTTTTTATATCATTAAAACACTATCATGTAGTCATGTATAGCTGACCGAATAAGTTGTGAGTATCATTAAGTTAATTAAATTGCTAATAAACATGTCCCAAGTAGTTTTCGGGGTCTTTACTAAATGCTTACCGGTATACACATTTACCATGTTATATTACCTTACCGGATGAATGGTAAAAACCGAGAATCTTATAAAAGCGATGGCAAGGACCAAGAGTCCTACCCAGTAAGTGAGGGTGGTGACTTCTACTCAGTTAGCGTTTATCGAGTAAATTGTTGCATACAATATCATTCTGATGGAGTAAAAATCTTACCTAGTAAGGTAAGTGATAGTGTTGAATCATACCGGTAACCACTTACCACATAAGTGCGAGATAAATGTTTTGAATAAATGACCCCTTATTTCATTTCCAACCCAACCACTAAAAAAACAACACAAAACACTAAAAACGATTGAAGTCCATTGAACATTAAAAAAAATCAACTTCAACCACACACTAAAAAAATATGACCAATTCACGTTCTCGTCATAAAACTTACGATTTGAACTTGTCGTCACGTCACACCTCACACCATTTTAATCATCGGAGATTGGCGACAACAAATATTCATGTCTACTGTTTAACAACGATGTATTAAAATATTAAATTCCTTAATTTTAAAAGCATGGTGGTCCACGTATTACACGTGTCGTGGAATATTTGAAAAATGTCATTACGTATAGCATAAAGACGGTTATATGTTTTCGCTTTTCCACATTAAAAGAAGTTAAAAAACAATATGTTGTTATCTATTCAATATTTTATATTTTATATTTTATCTATGCACTTTTATTATTTTTTTATATATAAATATATACTCATAATTATAGGGTTGAGTTCATACCAGCTTGTTTTCGTGAGATCCGTAAGACCACGTTTTTAATTTCAAACTTTATAGTAGAATATTGTGAAGATACAAAAAAGCCGAACCTTCACAGCAAAAATATTATGAAGGTTGCCTTCACAATGTTTTCCTGTGAAATTTCAAGTATAAAAAGTAATTTTACGGGTCTCACGAAAACAGACTTGTCTCACGTATCCCAAATCCTCTCTCTCTCTCTCTCTCTCTCTCTCTCTCTCTCTCTATATATATATATATTAATTACATACTGAATAATCATAAGCAATGAAACTTCACACCCTTTGCCAACAACACACCTTTTGCCAATAAAACAATTGTTATTTGAGAAGAATCTAGAAACTTAATTGAGAAAACTATTTAAGAAAAATATAATTTAAAATAAAAAGTAAAGATTACACATTACAGTTTATTTATATAAATTAAGAAAACAGTGAGAACGAATAAAAATGAAACAGTTTATGTGAAAACTCCAAAAAAGACAATTTTTTTGTGAAAATCATATAAATATAGTGTATGTAGGATTAAGATACGTTTGGTGTCCATTTAGGATAGGACATGATAAAACAGAACAATTGCTTACCGTTTGGTAAGACAGAATTGGATAAAACAAGTAAAAAGACTAATTTAATCCTAATAAATTGTTTGTATATTTTGATTAATTTATGTAATTTCTTAAATTATAATAAAACAATTACTTTTTATAACATAATATATAATTAGAAAGATTTTTATCAAAACAATTAAAATGACACCAAAAATAAGAAGTTTATGTAATTTTCAATTTTTATATTATTCTTAATCCACGTTATTTTATATTATCAACATATAAAAATAATATTTAAGGACAGAAAAATGGAAGTTTAAAAAACATAAAATACGATATGTAAAATTTAAAGAATGAAGAAAATGTAATGTTGTAGAAAAAAATTAAGTTTTATTTTGAAGTTATTTTGGTAAAATATAAGTCTTTTCCACCCTATGCCATGAGGTAGAGGTAGAGGTAAAACAAGTCTGTTACATTTTATTCCACTATGTTCATGTCTGTTCAATAAAAAAGTCTTATCAAACGTGAAACATGAATCCCTATTCTGTTTTATCCAATATACCAAACACACTCTTAATGAATACAAACATTCCTATCTATATGGTTCAAAGACGTTTTATGATCCAAGCAAATTACATGAAAATGTAACCTACTTTTTCCGGATTTATATTTTAAGCAACATACTTCAAAAATCTCCTATAACCTTTCGAACTTTTCTAAAATCTCCTATAACCTTCCAAACTTTTAATTATGCGAGTAACCTGTTTAAACCTTAACGAATTACGTTGTTGATATGACAAGTGATGCGGGTTTTTTATATTAAAGCGGGCAAAGACCTGCTTTTTTATGCATCTATGAATACCGCCCATTGTATGAATAATCGATCCAAACCCGACCGTCCTTGCTAAGTCCCAACCGGTTCCTGAACCAGGGTCCATACATGCATCTATAAATCCTGCAAGAATATAAATACATGAACAAACAATTTTAAACAAATTACAAGAATATAATTACATAAAAACGACCTGCTCTTTTTTATAAAAACGTAAAACCAACTCAAAAAATTTGCATATGGGTTGGAACTGTTTTGATACATAAAGGCATAACCACACTCTACATTTCAAAGACAAACTTCTCTACTCTAATACCCATTTTTCCCCATTCTACCAAAACCCAAAAACCGAGAACCCGAGAATTGAATAATAAGAAAACACCAAAAAACCCTGACACTGATTGATCAAATGTGATCTAGATCTTCGGGTTGGTGTTCAAGAACAATGGTTGCAAGGGCAAGTCGATAAGCGCTAGATCTTAGATTTCTTGTTAGAACGTATATTTCCTTCTTCCTTCGGTTCAGAGGCACAGAGCTCCATTGCTCATGTCTAAGGTGAGCAAGCAGGACCGCATCACAGAGAGCACCTGCCGATGGTTTCATGCTGAAAATCAACAAAAGTCAATTTCAGGAATAACAAAAGCGGCTGAAATCGACAAAAAGAAAACCCCGTAATTTGTTTTAATTTCGAACAATTTAAATATTGTGTAGATTTCCACCTTAAATAATGTGGCCATTGCTACAAAACTATATCCAATACTTGAAACATTTGCTTTTTTTTTGGTAATCTTAGTTCAGTTTGTGTGCACCTCGACTATCTCATGGAACCTGAAAACATCTTGGGGAAAATCCCCAACCTGACGACCTATGGGGAGATGGCCCTCAAGGTTAATACTTAGCATATTTTGCTGTTCAAGGCGGACCCAACTTTTTTCCTCAAGTGATGACACAATTTGACTATAAAAAAAACTAATGTTTTTCCACGATAATAGTATAGACCTGTTGATTGGTTCTTTGTCCTTGCATATAAAAGACCAATGTTCAAGTCTGGTCTACATATATTTTTTAAAAACAAGAGGTACATAAAAAAGAAGCAAAATTTACGTAGTTCTTTCGTTCATTGGTGAATTACATGACACTTCCATTCCAAGTTTCCATCTTTTGTTGATTTATCTGGTGAATTGCAATTGTCGTATTATCTTTTGTTTGGATCTATCCAGTTAATAACACACCCTTCATAAACGTAATTTTTTCCCTTACAACAGAACCATGAAGCAGTGGCCTGTGCCACCGTATCTATCCATGTGGGTCCGCCTCTGTTTGCTGTCTAGACATACACTTGATATGCCACGTGTACAACCCATGTCAACATGGCACTAGAAGTGGCCATTTTAACTTGCACATATGTCGTACATGTGTGCAACCCATGCCAACGTGGCATTAGAAATGGAGATTTTAAGGTGGACATCTTGGAAAATTAATGTACCAAGATGGTTACATGCATTCATAGGGCAATCTTCATTTCCATATTAGCAGGGGTAAGAAATCTGTTAAATTTAGTTGAAAAGATGGTTGTTTGACMTAMAAARTTAAAAAGATGCATYATATGAGAYAAAAGGGRTTATATAAAATACGAACCTTCCCCGAATAAATCCAGTTGTGACGAAACCAATTGGCCATCTATTAGACTCCATGGCTGCAGGATCTTCAGGCACTTGAAACTCCCATTTACCAGAATCTTGTTTCACAAAATATGTTGCCATTGATGACTGAGGTACTTGAAGTTCGACCTTCTTGTTTGAGCTGCATCGATTCACAAATAACTGTCTAGTTAGGGATAAAGAGACACATACATAATCTAAACATCATGTAGGATATGGATCCTAATGCAGAGTCTACGATTATGCTGGTCCAACAGAAATTTATTATGAATGGTTACAAACTAGCTGTTAAGCTAGTTATTGACTAGTTAGTTGGTTGATAAGCTGGTCGTTGGCTAGTTGGTTGATAAGCGAGTTGTTGGCTGAAAAAAGCTAGTTGTTGACTTGTTGGCTGAAAAGCTAGTTGTTGACTTGCTGGTTGATAAGCTATTTGTTGGCTGAAAAGCTAGTTATTGATTAGGTGGTTGATAAGATCGTTGTTGGCTGATAAGCTAGTTGTTGACTAGGTGGTTGATAAGCTAGTTGTTGACTAGGTGGTTGATAAGCTAGTTGTTGACTAGTTGGTTGATAAACTGGCTGTTGGCTAAAAAGTTTGTTGGTGACTAGTTGGTTGATAAGCTAGTTGGTGATTTGTTGGCTGAAAAGCCAGCTGTTACTTGTTGGCTGAAAAGCTAGTGGTTGAGTCGTTGGCTAAAAAGCTAATTGGCTGAAAGGCTAGTTGGCTGATAAGCTAGCTATTCACTGAAAAGATAGTTGTTGGCTGAGAATTTAGTCGATAAACTAATCACGCGCTTTAAAAAGTAGTTTATAAGCTAGATGAAAATGAGAAATGCAAATGATCTAAAAGAACAAGTTGAAAATATATTCAAGTGTAACATATTTTATATATATATATAGACACACACACACACACATATATATAATTAGGAGCATAATTGAAAAAAGTGATAAAATCCCCTATCTAACCAAACGAGGGTTTTCCAGTTAGGCGAATAATCATCGTGTGAGGAGAGTTAAGGTGAGAAGCGTAAGAAGGTATCTAGACCCTTTATCACCTTTAATCTCAAACCCATCCATGAATCACGTTTGATATGGGGATTGATCCAGTGCATCTAATCCCAATGTGCATCCAAGGGTGGAGATCCCTTCTTATGCTTATCACCTTAACTCTCCTTCTCACAGGAACCCAACCCTTTCCAGTGAACTCAAATATAAGCTTGCTTATGGTTATCAACATCTTGTCCCTTTTGTGCTCGGGTATATCTTATAAGAAGGTTGCTCTTCTTCATGTTTGTAGTGAAAAGATAAACAAATAATATAAAATAATCCTAGAAATATCCCACCGAGACGAAGGATTGTGTGAGAATAGGAGTTAAGATGAGAAGTGTAAGAAGGGATTTGGACCCTTGATCACTTTTAATCCCAAAAGAATCTATGAATAGCACTTTAAAAGGGAATTGATACAGTGGTTCTCTTCAATTAGGATTGATCAAAGAGTGGAGGAGATCCCTTCTTACCCTTCTCATCATAACTTTCATTCTCACTGGAACACAACCCTACCCACCGATCTGTATTCCATCTTTTGTTTGTGTATGCCAGATTATTGATCCTAACAAAATAATATAAAATAAACACACTTTGATTAACGATAACATAAAAACTCGGAGTAGGCATAGCAAAAACGATGGCATAAAGAGTTACAAATTACCCTGATAACCAAAGCTTCATATCGGCCGAACGGGGTGCACAAACCACTGCTCCGTCCTCAATGACACCTTCTTTATATGCATGGAGAATAACTCTAACAAAACACACCTTTCTACATCGATTTGCCAGCAAACTGACCGTACTTGGGCCTGATTCGAGTATTTTCTCATCCCTCATGATCTTAGAAATGCACGTAGTTTTATCAAGAAAATGCAAGAAAAGAAGCAAATGATCGCCATTAATAGAATTCAAGAAACCAGCCAACGTGCTTGATGTCCTGGCCACAACCATATCGGAGTCTGCTAATGCCGGTTCAGCAACTGGACCTGATTCACTTGAACAAACTCGAGTTTTTTCTGCTTCAGTTGGGTTCGTTCCAAAGGCGAGACGAACACAATTCCATGGAGGTGGGATGGGAATGCTAAAAGGTCTCACCGAAACAGGACGAAGACTCGCTTCTTTATCAATGGCAGAAGCTTCAGCATCCATTAAAGATGAGTAAGAACCACATTCGGGGAATTCTAATGGAAAACATGGTATCCCAGCCTGCAAATGCACAAGTTATAAGTGTAAATTTGAAAGTATTAAGCTCAGAGCATCTCCAACAGATTTTCCAAAATGGAGAAGCCATTCAACTCAACAGTTTCTCAATTTTGGAGATTTCAGCATTAATTGTATTATTAAAATATTCAATACATTTAATACCCCAAGAAACTTTCAAATAAATTTTATACAAAATGATAATACACGCAACTTCATTGGTGGAAACAATAAAAAAAACATTCGTCTCCTAAGCAATTAATTTTGGAGAATTCTCTAAATTTGGAGATTTTCATCATCTCTCTTCTACTTTCTCCTTTTTAGAGAAACTTCTGGGAAAGGGTCCGTTTGGTTTGTAGGAACAGGAAGGATTTGGGGGGATTTGGAATTCAAAACCATTCCAATCCCGTGTTTGGTTTGCAGGATTGCTCAGATTTGGAATCCTAGGATTTCTTTGAAATCTCACAAACATTGGATTCTGAAATCCCATGGATGGGTTGGTATTTCACTGGATTTTGTAGGATTTGAAAGTAATAATGGTTTAAATTATGTTAAAATACATTTGTTTTGTAATAATCAATTAATAAAAAGGCAATTTAATTATTTTTATGAACTTTTTATAAATAATGGAATTCAATTTCATTCTAAATCCTACAAAGCAAGCACACAAACATTTCAAATCCTTCCAATTAAAATCCAAATCCCTTAAAACCAATCTCGCAAACCAAACGGGACCTAAATTGGATTTCATTCTAATCCGCGTTTGGTTTAAAGAAATCCCATGGGAGTTCGAGGGGTTTCATAGGATTTATATGTAATAATGTTTTAAAATATGTTAAAAACACTTGTCTTGTAATAATCAATTAATAAAAAGGTAATATAATTATTTTTATAGGTTGTTTCTATAAATTATTTATAAGGAATGAAATTCAATTCAGTTCCAAATCCTACAAACCAAACACACCAAGGATTTCAAATCCTTCCAATTCCAAATCCTCCTAATTCCAAGTCCTTCCATGAAATCCAAATCCATCAAAAACATTCTGCCAAACGAAACGGGCCCTAAAATCTCCAGTTTCTCCATTTTGGAGAATCTATTGGAGATAATCTTAGTTGTGTTCAAGCAAATGCATGTACTTACTTCACAAGCAACCCAAGACCTCTCTCTTAGGCCTATAGCCTGAGCGCCATTTGAGACGAGAGGAACCCAAAATGCTTTGACCCAGCTTAAAGGAAGTATAATCGACCACCTGTAAAATCATCAAACGATACCGCATTCAAAACTTTGAATCTTGATCATCCAAATACAATGTGTCAATAAAGCAATAACATGAACACATACACAGAAAAAGCGTAAACCTTTCAATTGAATCCTTCATGTTATTCCTTCTTAAAAGAAGAACAGGGCAAAATCTTGAGGAACGAATCTTGGTTGAAGCATGAATGCCATCAGAACTTTTGTCGGTAAGACAAAAAGACGACAACCGTTGACGGTGTTTCTCCATACAAAGAACACTTTCTTCAACTGCACAGCACAACCCTTTACTAGCATCCCACAAATCGGTACAACTCGAGATTAATTCACTGCTTACTTCAGGTAACCCTTCTATGGTCAAAGCACGGGGATCACAGACTGTAAGAGATATTATTCCAGAAGAAGATATATGATCTTCGTTATCTAGAATGGATGTATTTCTCGACGGAGTGCCACCATCAGCTACCATAAATGTACATTTTCTCAAAACTGAAGATTTCTCGGACATGCTATGTTATCATCAACAACATTAGAAATTTGGGTTAAAATCAGAGGACCTAGAAATTTTTTCAAGTGGTGGCACCATTTGCACTATAAGAAACAAATATATGGATATTTTTCACAAAATCATCATTAGTCTGTTGGTTAGTTCATTGCTTTTCATATGTGAGGTCTTGTGTTCAAATCTTCTATTGCAAATTTTTTCAGCAACATAATATATCTGAAAAGATTGAAACTAAAAGCTAAAAACTAAGAAAATGACACTAATGGGAATCAAATCTGGGTCTGGGAGAAAAGCAACGCAAACCAACTCTACCAAGGGAAACTTGTGACTTCATTGTAGTTTCATAATATATATGATGGCACACAACAAATTGATATGGTGGCCCCTTTCACGACCCTATAATTTTTTACATTACCATGGAGAAATGAAGCAATGGCCCGTGCCACCATATACAATAGAGTGGGTCTGCCCCCCGGTTAAAATTTAAACAGGTCAAATCATAAAATCACCGAGTAACACACATGACTTTCCTGCAAGAACAAGTGAACTGCATCAAAGCATTGGATGACTCACCTGCTAACCGGATGTAGTATCCTTCGAAGAAGCTGTGATGCTTTTGAACCCATCACTTCCAGTGTCCCTAATTGTCCCTCGAGTGACGTACAGCTAACCACGGCAACATCCTCATCAATCTGAAATATTAGAGCGAATACATGATCATGTGAAAGCATCAATCTTCATACACATTGAAACTTCATGAAAGGTCAAGATGTAAAGTTGCTTCTATTAATCACACGGACAATATAAGTGGTGTATCCCACATCGATAATAACAGAAGTAGTGGTAAGATTGATATAAACTATTCACAACCAAAATATTACAGAAGGTGTTTCCTGGCTTTTGAGAGGCCAGAAGCTCTCTTAAGGACTCACGTTCAAATTGACACAAGAACAGAATATCCCATCTGTTGTATGTTATACCTAGGTCAAAGGGCCAACATTGGTAGGCGGGATAGGGAAGTCGGTTACTTGCTTAACTAGTATAAATAAAGGGGATGAGAGAGAGGAAAGATATCGAGTAGTTTTTGTGATTGTTTTGGGCTTAGGCCTGTAGGAGAGAACTCGGCCTCTCGAAAGCCGAGAACGATCTGTAATCAATAGTTTCCTTTTGCGTTCAATTGATTCTCTCGATTCTAATAGCAATTACGTGTTTGATCGAGTTAAATTGCTTTTGGAATCAAAAGAAGCAATTGAACACAAAAGAAAACTATTGATTAGAGAACGTTCTCGGCTTTCGAGGGGCCGAGTTTTCTCCCACAGGCCTAAGCCCAAAACAATCACAAAAACTACTCGATGCCTTTCCCCTCTCTCATCCCCTTTATTTATACTGGTTAAGCAAGTAATTGACTTTCCTATCCCGCCTATCAACTTTGACCCTTTGGCCTAGGGTATAACAATTTGTTGTACACTGATGCTCAAATCGATTGAATTACTTGAATTAACCAAAAGATTACAATTTCCACAGGCTTTCGAGAGGCCTGGTCTCTCCCAAAACGGTTTCTGCTAATAGAATTCACAAAACAGAATGCACTCCTATACCACCTAGACCCCCTATTTATACTAACAACTAATGATGTAACAGAAAGCAAAATCTCTCTAACTTCCCATCCTCAACTTGCTATGCATGAAGTTACCAGATTGCCCTTTCCTCAACTAGTGTAATACTAAAAACCCTTTACTTCGGTGTTTACATTGTACAAGGACTCACCGCACTTACTTATAGATCCTTCACATAGGCTAACCGTTCCCCCTATTACCTTTGGAACCCTCTAGAATAATCCTCGACTACATAATTGTCTGATGGTTCCATAGAATTAGTAAAGAAAACAAAAATCTACCTTACCCTGTCTTTCACAGGCACTTTTCAGAGCATTGTAGCCTTCCGTTAATGCCGCAGCATGTATCCATATCCATAATTGTCTGATGGTTCCATCACTTTCTGAATCGGCATCTGTTGACTGCTGATTAGGTCGCCACATATAAAAAACGGGTGCTATCGGGCCTAAATTGTGTGCTCCAGCATAATGAAGCTACAAAAGTGAATACATAGATTACCAACGGCTACCAAAACAATCAGCGGTTATATCTCATCTATGTATGGATATGATCGCTTACCATTGAACTAGCATAAGCACTACCAGAAAGTACATTTCCAGCATCTGGTGAAGAAAAAGGTGTCATTACAGTGCTTAGAATAGACAGTAATGAACCCTGCAAGCAGACAATTAAACGTCAATATACGATTATACATACGAAGCTTCAAACCCGTAAAAAAGAGCTAAGTAAGAAAATCCGGACCTGTGAACCCTCCAGTTGAACAGCACAGTAGTAACTTGCATCATGAACAACAGTTCCATTTTTCAACCATTTTAAGAGACCTCTCGAGCCTCTTCCTCTGCATTAAACAAACCATAAAAATGTTTACCCCTTCTAACAAAAACCAAACCAAAAGAGCCTGGTATAACTCACCATGGAGGCAGAGGCGGATCCAGAAAAAAAATTACAACCAGGGGCACAAAATAAATTAGCATATGTAAAATAAAACAAGATCTAGTGATAAAAAGTATGGCTTAATAAAAAATGAAATACAAGTGGTTGTTCGCAGCACCCAAGTGGCTTTTTCTTTCTTTCTTTTTTTCCTTCTTTTCTGTTGTTGCCAAAAAAGTTAAAAGAGAGCCAAAGGGATTTGAACTTGCAACCTGTAATGCCACATGCAAGTGGATTTTGCCTCAAGACTCCTAGTATAGAAAATCCACTACGTCGGCCCAGTAGAGTGGTAGCATGGGCACCTCTTTTCCACCTAAATCCTCCCCGGCACGAAAGTGGGGTCCGGGGGAGTAAAATGTACGCAGATCTAACCTCTACCCCAAAGAGTATAACAGTTGTTCCAATGAAAACCCCCAGCTTGTGGAAAGTGTGTGAAAGAGTGTTGATTCCTTTCAACACTTTTAAAGAATCTACCTCATATCTATCAGAGAATTAGAAGCATCTTTATATCTACTCTATCCTGCAAGAGTTTTAGTTTGCCCACTGTTCTACCTTCAAACTAAAAACCGGCATCCTTTGATAGATTTGACTTTAGTATGCGTTTGGTACACTAGACAGGACAGAACAAGGAWCATTGTTCCAYSTTTGGCAGAACTTTTATGTGGAACAGGGTGGAACACCCCTGCCCTATTCAACGAGGTGGAGTATACCTATATTTTACCAATATAACCTCAAAACAAAACCTAATTTTCTTCTAATACATCAAATCCACCTCCCTCTTTACATTTTATTCATTCTTTAAATTTTATTTATTGTATTTTAAGCTCTTTAAACTTTCAGTTTACCATTCACAAAATATTATTTTTACAGGGTTTTAATTTTGATTGTTTATGTAATTTATTAAATATTATTAATAATAAAATGATATAGAAAAGGTACAAAATAAAATTTGGAGACTACATAAACTTTCTATTTCGGTGTCATTTTAATAGTCTTGACAAAAAATTTCTAATGATATATTTTGTTATAAAAAAATATCTATTTATTACAGCTTAATAAATCACATAAACTAATCAATATATAAAAAACACAACTCATTAGGGGGTAAATTGGTCAGTTTATTTGTTATGTCCAGTTCTATCTTACCAAACGCTGAACAGCTACTGTTCTGTCCTATCTTGTCCGGATGCCAAAAGCACCCTTAATGAACACTAACATGATATTAGCGAACTGCTCAAGCCATTACCTGCCAGGCAAACCAAGAGGAAGGTGGAAACCCCAACGCTTTGTCATTGTAAACCGTTTTGCATGCCAAACATGAGTTCTCAAACGCTTTGTCCCATCGCCTGAAGGGCAAAACCCACTTTCAGGATTCATCTTCAGCTCTTTTCTACGACGAATGTGGCGAGGAGGAGCCTTCTTAACACATTTCTCTGCATTTTCATCACTTTCTTGGTTCGAAACTCCAATTTTTTGCTTCTTCCTGAACCTAGTTTTCGAAGATCGATCGTCATAACCAGTAGTTCTTCTCCTCTTATTTTTCCGAGATTTGAAATTGTTGTTCATCCGGTTGGCGATAGTTGAGTAGAGGGACTCCAGTTCTGGAGCTCGAGATTCTGTAAATTTCTGCACAAGAAGGTCACGTGGTGGTATGACAGGGACCTTATTTGGCTGTTTGCTTCCATCAGTACCCATTGTTAGAAGAAAGTAACCTGTTTAAAATGGCAACAATCTCTTAATTGCTTAGCACGGTCTTAGAAGACTAATATTCCCAATAATGAAAAAAACCATGACCATAGAAGCAAAAAACCAACTATTTTACACAAATTCCAATACGGAAGTTTGATGGTACTAATCATTCATGCAACACAATATACTTTCTGTCAATATGAGTAAGCTCTATGAGTTTACGACTTTATGCCCTTTATGGACTCTAGAACGAGGGTTAATTGAGAAAAAAATAGACATGATAAATGGTAGGGCTAAACACTCAACAAAACTTGAAACAGAATTTGGAACATAAACCAATCAAATTCAGGACAATTGAAGAGATACTTGATGAGATTACTTACACCCAGTATAAACAGATAAAATTTTGCAGCCTCTAGAAACACGTAGATAATGTCAACCAATTACAACAGTGAATTACCTATGATCAATATGAGAATTAACTATCATCGATACCGCGGGATGGAGATTACCTATGGCAAGAGCTTAAATGACAAATTCTTACACCTTGTTCTCGAATTCAAGAAGAAAGGAAAGGAACAAATATTTCATTTGTGTTCTTAAAAGGGAAAGAAAAAGGAAACGAAAGATGTTACAAATATACCTTCATATTTGTTCTCCTCACTTTATTCTTATTTTCCTCCAAACAGAAATTCAAGAACACGATCTCTCTAAAAAATATTAACATGAAACATATTTACACTAATATATTAATTTATACCAATAACGTATTTACAAACCTAACTGCAGGAATTAGAATAGGCATTGGTTGGTCTGTCTAAGAACTGGAGTCTAGAAACAATTACATACAAACATTACCATAATCTTAGGAGCTCAAAATCAATCAAACAAGAAATTCAAAGAAAGGTGAGAATATTATACCAATTCTTTGCCTGTACTCGTTTCGTCAACGTCTTTTTATGCCTGTAAACATCATCATAAAAATTAGAATTCAACTGAAGTTTGTATATGACAATGGAAACAAACATCGCCATAACAAAAAGTGAAGGTATAAAGTTTCAACTAGAGGTGTTCATCTAAACCGCAAAAACTGCCCACACCACAAAGCGCAGTTTAGAATGCCCGTGTGTGGTTTGCATTTTTACCAAGGCACACTATGTGGTGCGGTCTTGAGTTAGCAAACCGTGGTTCAAACTGCATCTGCACCGCATATTATATATATAATATATATGAATAATAGTTGAGCTAATTTATGTAAAAAAAATATTTTTACTTCTAACACTATTGTTTATTATGAAATATGTATTGGGAATCAGACCTATTTAAACTTCTTATTTGTGCGAAAGGTCACTATATCGTTGATCTTATAACGAAGTTTAAATTAATTTTATAGGCGTAAAATGTGTTAGGTGTAACTGCATGTTTACGGTGCAGTTTGAGTTGAGGTATATGCATTGCGGTTTGCAGTTTGAGAAATGCTCAAACAGCAGGTGTGTTTGCCGTTTGGCCCCAAACCTCACTGCGATCATCCCTAGTTATGTTTTCTAGGAATTCTGAAATAGAAAAGCCCTAACGTCTTAGAAGAGTATACATATTAGTATAATCAACTTAAGAGTTCCAACAGAAATCATATTAGTTTGAGGAAATAGAAACAGAATAGACTTGTGTTGATGTTGTTCAACATCAAACACAGAGAAAAAAAGATGCATAAGAGTGATTCAACCACGTAGTTTTTCTTGCACTTAAACCAGGTATGGTGAATCACTCTTATGCATCTTTTAATGTAAGATATGCATTAAAAATCCTCTCCAACATACATAAGAACTTCACATAGCATTAAAAAGTCCTCTCCAATATACACCCATTTAAACAATGAAAAGGGTAAAGCCCCACAAACTTCAAATTGTTTCAAACGAAAGAAGGGATTTGAAAATGGTGATTTTTGGGTAGAAACCAAAACAGATAAAGAAAAGATTTTGAGCATTTTGTGATTACTCTTCCGTCATTATGTTTTCTAAATAGTCCAATGTAGGTGAATGTTATCATATGCTACTGAATACAACTTGTACAATAAAATGCTAACCATACAAATTTCAGGGGCAACCTAGACACTGATTTGTTAGAAACCCTTAAACCTAAAAACCTCAATTTTAATGCATACACTGGATTCAAATAAGTAATGTTATGAAATTCAGGAATAACGATGAGGAGAGGATTGATTATAAAAGAAACCTGTTGTGAAGTTCCTACCTGATTTGAATGACGATCAAATGTTCCTGAATTCATCTACAGGAATAGGAAAAAACCCAAACAGAACTCGGCCAACGACGAGCAGCCCTGTATCAAAATGACATGGAGAATATATCACCAAATGGGGAGATGTAAGATCAAAGAAAAAACGAGACAAACCTCTTTAATTCTAGATTGGGGATCCACTCTGCATAGACAGGCATACACGCATATTGTACAAAGAAGATGAAACTAAAAGCTTGACCTAATAATGGTAATGTCTTTAATAAACAAAAGAAAAGTTGAACTCGTTTGAAGAAAACGGGTTGAAATGTGAATAACTCTACGATTACAACCTAAACAAACACACCTCGTTCAAGAACATGGATGGAGAAACCGTGAGAAAAAACCTAGGTTTTTGAAGAACTTACCAGAGATGAACAACGTACCTGGAGAATCTCGATAAAAGATGGAGTGAGCGAAAGAGGGGATTCATTACCAAAATAACCCAACAAAACAATTACATTTTTAACTCTAAAATTTAATAGTTTTAAAAAATAACCTCATATGATACTTTACACATCAAATCATGCGTGTAGAGACCATTTTACAATATAAAAAGGGAGTGTTAAATGCCATCCCCTTTGATGTCAGAATCAGGTCATTTAAGCATTAAGAATGTAAAAAACATGTATTGATTTTGATGTGTGTGAGAAAGAAATTCATGGATAGGGATGCATTTAGCCCACCCCTATAAAAAATACCGAGACAAAGGGCTGACATGGATTTGACTGAGGTGACCGATCGTGGGTCCCACCCTTATACGATTAAATTTACTATGATGTAGACGATTAAATTTCGGTAATGGATATTGTATTAATGTAATGGAGATTGTATTAAGAATATGAAGATTAAAGTGTTGGTTTTGTGTTGATAATATGAAATTTGAATTGTTTATATATTGGGTTGAGGAGGAAAAAGACAAAAATGAATAGTGTTTTATTGAGAATGAGCAAAATACTTTAAAAAAATAATTTCGGACCATTGGGTGGGGCCCTTACGCATCGTGCATCGGCCGGTGCGTAAGGTGGGGCGCACCGAGCCATGCATTGGTCACCTCAGTCAAATCCATGTCAGCCCTTGGTCTCAACAATTTTTTATTGCAAAATGGTCCCTATACACACGGTTTGGTGCGTAAAGGGTAATGTCAGGTTATTTTCTAGAAGTTTTAAATTTTAGGTTAAAAATGTAATTGATTACATTTATTGGGTTATTTTGGTCATAAACCCGCAAAAGAGAGGGTTAGGATTGCTACGCACAATGGTTATTAACTTATTTGGGTGTGTTATAATAAGAAGGTTAGTATTTGGATACAAAAAAATGGGTATCTCGTCTATTTTTCCAGCTTATCCGGTGCAGTACCGTCATAAACTAATCCAAACACCCCCCCCCCCCAAGATGCAAGTCTCTTCAAGAATGGCAATCGTTGCCTTGACTCGAATCAAAAGTTGTCTTTCTATATTCTCAACTCGATTTTCATCGGATTGTACGTGCACACCTCAACTTTGGTATTTAGGAAGATGCATTGTCAGGTTGTACACCATGCATACTAACGTGTAACTAGCAAAATTTAAGACTCGTGCATCAATTAGCCGTACATTATGCAATAAAAGTTATTTCTAAGACTTTGATAAATATGATTTATAAAATAGTACATATGATTGTCTGTATGTTTTTATCATATAGATCGTCAATTTAATCAAATTAAACCAATTTTGGTTGATTCAATATATTGGGCTTATACAAGAGTATCTCCTAACATGATATCTAAAACAGTGAAAAAAGAGTAAATATGTCTTGGAAAAAAAGAGTAAATTATGATTTTCGTTCCAGTGGTTTGTTAATATAATATAATACTTAATTATTATATTTATAAAAAATTATTTTATTAAATTAAAAATAAAATCGATTAATTGTTAGGCCTAAATTTAATTGTAATA